TTTCACATGGGCTGCAGCAGTGCACTAATTGGGCCACACCTGGCCCGAGGATAGAGAACCACTGGTCCAGACCTACTGCATCTTCCTGTTTATAGTAAAGCAATATCTCTGGGGATCAGTTAAAGAACTATGACTTTTCCAAGCATGATTTTAAGCCTTGTGAAAAAGTTAAAACAACAAAGGCAGATTTTGCTTTGGGCTTCCAACTCATCAAAAGAACTTAAAAATACAACCTCAATGCAACATTTGTAGAGCATGCTTTGTATTTTTATGCTGTACACATCTCGTATTTCTGACACGGCACAAGTTGGCAGCTGATCCGGGAGTGGAGCCGTGCAGCCCCAACTCCCAGGGTTTTGCACCAATCTGCTTTCTTTAGCCACCAAACCTCATGCAGGGTGACTTTCTCCCGTATCATGAGCAAGCCCATGGTGATCACGCTCAAGACAACACGTTTTTAGATAGACACACCCAGCTGCGAGTTTCGTTCTGGTTTTCCACCTTTGCCAAGAGGAACGGCACAAAAGCAGAACTGTTATCTGTAGGGGTTTTGTTTTTTTTTTTCTCTTGATGGTTATCTCCAACTAAGGTTTGCCTCCAAAGGAGACAGATTTAAGGGGGTGTTTCGTGAGCACGGAAGAAGCAAACCATGCCTGCACCCACCGTGGGACCTGCCTCTGCTCAGCCGTGGCTCCCAAGCGGGCCCAGGCCATGAAGGGCAGTGTTGCCGCCTGCCCCTAGTGACAACGACACTCGGCCCAGATCTTTCAACGGCTGAGTCTTGCGCGGGGGTTTCCTTTCAGGGCCCAGGGGCAGCCCAGGAGAGGGGGCGCCCGGGTCGGGAGACACTCCAGAAGCAAGGGGCAAAGGGAAGGGCCCCCGCGCGCCCCGGGCCTTACTCTGAGCGTGAGGTGGTGTACGCGGCCGTGGCCCCATCCCGCCCACAGCGACAGCAGCGCCAGCGCCTTCCACAGGGGGACGCGCCAACCGCAGGCCGCCATGTTTATTCCAGCATCACCAGCCGCTTCCCCGCCCACTTCCGGGTTCAAGGGTCGCACCACGTGACTTCCCCGCTTCCCTTCCCTTCCCCAGCTGGGAGAGGGAGAGTGCGCGCGCATGCGTCTGGGCCCCGCTGGGGGAGGGCGGAGTGAGCACGAGCGGTCGGACCACGTGACCGCCTCTTCCCCGCCCCGCCTGAGTGGCTTTTAGGGCTGTGCGCATGCGTGTAGGCTGGGTTCGGTATGGGGCGTGGTTGCTTGGAGATAGAGAGAAGTTTTGTCTCATTTAAAAAAATAGCAATGTCATTCAATTTTTTGTTTTTATCCTTCCTAGCACCATCTCCCCTGCCTGTTGGCCCCACTGTTGTTCGCCTCCCTAGGCACTTGGCTGCGGTGTCACCTCTGCCTCAGGCAAATTTTGTGCTGCCCTCCTGGGTTTTCTCCCCCTGCGCTCCCCGGGATTGGCTCTGCAGCCTGTATTCTGCCCTCCCACCCCCTCCCTTGCCGGGGGGACAGGCGCTGAGGGAGGAGGCTGAAATTGGTTGCTTATTCCCAGTTCGTTTTTCAGGCTCCTCGCTGAAGTGGGGTTGAGGCCTGGACAGCAGTGTTGTGTGGAGTAGTCCAATGCGGGGGTGCTCGTTCAGCCTACACGGCTGTATGGGGTCTGGTCCTAGCATACGGGGCTGGATAGAGGTGGCGTAGGAGCCCTGGGGTGCACGGCAGTCTAGGGTCTAATTCTGGCATGTGGGGTGGAATGCAGCCCTGTGCTGCTCTTGTGGCCAGGAGGTTGAGCAGCACTGGCCTCATGTGCTGGTGGAAGTGAAAACCTGCTTTCCCTGACTAACCATGGGAGAGAGAGACATTTCTTTCTGTGTATTGCATATGAGCTTTTCATCTACCTGTTCTCAGATAGTCCAATCTCTCCTTTTTTTTTTTTTTTTCAGACAGTGTGCATCAGTCAATCGAAGC